CCCGCGCCGACCACAGCCAGGGAGGCCAGGGACCCCCGAGTGCTAGGAGCAGACCGATGGGAAGCAGCTGTCCACATACCTTCCGACCGGCGAGGACCCCCTTGGCCACGCCCCCAGCGCGCCATTGGCTCCGGGCCCAAGCCGTCGCTGGGCCCGCCCCTCCTAGCCCCGCCTCCCTCCCTGGAGCGCCCTCTCCCTTCGAAAAATAAGAATAGACCCGCCAGGAACATAGGGCTCACCGAACTGAGGGGCACGGAACTCGTCCGCTGTATGGATGCTGGGGGCGCCGGCAGGGTCCCGGACCTTACTTTACTTCCCGCGTACGACCCCCCCTTGGAGCGGGGCAAAGAGGCGGGCGGGCGCCTCAACGGCGGAACTGGATCCGCCTGCCCAGTTGGGTGCCGGTAAACAGCGGTGTTTGCGGAAAGCCTTGGTACAGGGCCCTGGGCACCAGACACCGAGGGCGGGAGGACGGACGTGGACTGCTGCGGGGCGAGAGGCTCACTCCACCCTCTACCGGGAGTCGGTGCTGGAGCTGAGGCTGGGCAGGAATGTGTATGTAAACAAATGTACAGGGGCGCCAGGAGATTCCTCTAGCCAAAGGCAAATTGGGAGAAGGCTTTCTGGAGGAGTTGGCTTTCAAGGTGGGAATGAAAAATTTCATCCGACAGAAGTGGAGGGGCAGGTTATTTTCAGCAGAGGGCACAAAGGAAGGTATGTGAAACCTTAAAGGCTTTACATTGTACTGATAATGAAAACCCGGCTTGCAGAGATGAAGGTATGTGATACCCGATTACAATTCTTGGACTTGGATAGGACCACCACCCCAAGACCGTGGTTGATGAAGATGTTGGCATCCTACCTCGAATCCAGGTAGGTTTGGAGGGTGGGCCAAGTGAGCAGCACCTCTAGGTTGCCAAAAGGCACAGTGGTGTAGAGACTGCAGAACTGCATTTCATGGGTGAACAGATTAGGGAAACCAAGAGGCTTCTGGTCATTGTCCCACCCATTAAATTCAGAGATGTTCCCACTCTCTGCGTCCCTCAAGTCAAATCTTACTGGATTCCTTCCCTCTATTGTTTGCTGTTTATCCTGACTTCCAACTGGAAGGAGTTTGTGAGGCCAGGTCCACCCCTCTGTGTTCAACAGAGCTAAGCCTAGAGCCAGACATGTGTGAGCAAAAGAGATTTCAGTGAGGCACTGAGGAAAGGACAGTGGTGTGGCTACCAGATGGATGTGCGGGCACAGAAGGCCTTGGGATCTTGAAGGCAGGAGATGAGACTCCTCATAACCTCCAGTGAGAAGAGTGGGCCAGGGCAGGAGCAGTAGGCCAGCAGACTAAGAGAAGAACTGTTTTAACACAGAAGGGGAATAGTGCCTTATTCAGTGTGGGCAGCACGGGAAAGAAGTAGCCAGTGGCCTCATGGAAAGAGGAGGAAGAGGGTTCAATGCTTATGGCTGTTGCCTGGTGGTAGTGTCTTGGCAAGGCCCTTCACTGTAGGCCTCAGCCTTCCTGTGAAATGGGAGTGGTTTGGAAAACCAAGGCAGGAAGATCACAAGTTCAAGGCAGCCTGGCAACATAGTGAGGCCCTGTCACACAATAAAAACATGAAAAGAAGCTGGAGAAGGTCAGTGGCAGAGTGCTGGCTCCTCACATGCAAGACCCCACCCAAGGGATGGGTAGTGAAGTCCAGAGACTGGGGCATTAGTCACTAAGGAGAGGGGGCAGGTAGGAGGAAGTGCTGGTTTGGGAAGGGCAGTGGGTCCCCCGGCTGTAGTCCTGGGACTTGCAGCTTGGGGATGGAATCACGGCCGGAAAAAGTGCCAAGGAGGGAGGCCTAGCAGGCATGGAGGTTACAGTACCCCTGCCTCAGATGGGGACTGAGTTTTCCTATATCACAACAGTTATGTATGTCTAATTCCATCTCAGGTCCTCACTGTGTTTTCAGGAGCTGTGCCTTGGCCACATATGAGTGCCGTAGTATTACTGTGAGAAGAGGCAAGATGCAGTATAGAAACAATGCTGGGGTGGATGGATTTTGGTTCTCTGTTCATCCTCTTCCTCCTAACAGGACAGCAACCCTTCCCCTGCTCTGAGGATCCAGCATGATCATAACCCAGGTCTTGTGTGTGCCAGGCCAGCACTGTCCCATTAGCTGCATCCATAGCATCAGTACAGGCCATAGCCCCAGGCTCAGAACCTTGCACTTGCCAAGCAGGTACAGCACCACTGAGCTACATCCCCAGCCCCTAGGAGTGTGTTATGGTCGAAGTTACTCTTGAAGGATTTGCAACCCCAGAAATTACCTGCTCCCACCCTCCTGAACAGTACCTTCACCCAGCTGCTGGAGGTGGCCATGCACAGGAGGCTCCAGGAAGGGACCTGAGATTGTTGTCCCCCTCTCCAGCCTACCATCAAGGACAAAACTGAAGTGATCTAGGCGAGGGACCACCTTGGGAAACCATACCAGGAAGCCAGGTTCCAATGCCAGGAGGCTTCTGTGTGAAACTGAAGGTTTTAGGAGTTAAGGGTTGTACTTAGTTACAGGTAAGGAAAGTGAGGCTCTGAGTAGAGCAGGTCCCTCTGGATCCACCCCACACACCTCTATACCCTCAGGCCAGTGACCCAGGCCTGAAGAAACACCCTGCTTCCCCTCGGCTCCACACTCCTCACCTCTCAACTCCAGGAGCAGTTTGTACCGAGACAGTTCTATATTTCTGATCCCTTCCAGGAAGTTATCTTCAAGCAAGATTGGTTTCCTAAGACCACACACCTACCTCAACCCTCAGCTCATAGCACTTCTGATAGCTCAGTCTACCTCATGGGTGTCACACACTCCTTTCACAGAGGGATTCAGTCACAATTTTCTAGGTGCTTATGGTAAATGGTGATTAATATATTTAGGGCTGAGGCAGATAAACATCGCTGAGAATTTAAGTCTGGCCTGGATGACTGTTAGTTTAAGGCCAACCTGAACTACATAGTGAGACTGTGTCTCAAAAAAAGACATTTAGGGCCAAGCATGCTTGGCCCATGCCTGTGATCTCATCTGCTGAGGAGGATCACAAGTCTGGACAACCCTGTCTCAAAATAAAAATAATGAAAGGGCTGGGGGTGTAGCTCAGTGCTATAGTGTGTTGACCTAGGTCACTGAGGGCCTGGGTCCAATCCCCAACTGGGGGGAAGGACAGGACATATACATTTAGGGCCTGTAGTTAAGTGGCTGCCAGAGCCCAGCTGTGAAAGATGACCTCTGCCACTCAAAATTATGCAGGAGAGGAAGCTCACCAGATAACCCCCTTGCGCTGAGCTTCCCACCCTAAGGCTTCCCCTGCATTCAAGGGAAAAGTCCTGAATTCTAATGTAGCCATTTCCTAACTAGATGACTTCCATGGATCATTTTTCTCCAGGGTTTCCTTATCTGCATATTAAGAACAGGAATTTCTGGCATATCAAATGGGGCAATCCTAGCACTCAGCTAAGAGTCCCAGGACTACCTCCTCTCAGGGACACCAAGCTTTCTGGCCATTCCGATGTATATCCCCAGAGTCACAGACTAAAGGACCAAACCCCTAATGAATAATCCCATCTCTGTGGCAGTCAGCCAACTTGGGTTGTACATTTGTTTTAGTTCTGATTTCCGTGTAGTCTTGGAATCGTGGACATTTTTAGTGGTTTGACTGCTGCTGCTCACTGCCTTAATATGTCTTCTCACCAAGCATTGACTTGGCCCTCTGGTCAGGAAGATAAATTAGCCTGCCAGGAAGATAAATAATAACAGCAAGTTCCCCAATCTATCAAGCTTTGTTTTCAAAGTGTTTCCTTTTTGTACCAGTCGTTTAATGACTTATTTTAAAATCAGCAGGTCCCTTTGTTCAAATGAACTCTTACTCAGAAGCCTGGTACATAAGCCACAAGGGTGCTCCTTATGTAGCACGTCACTGGCTGCCTGAGCTCTGCGGCTTCACCTCCCATTCAACTCCCGAACAGCCCCACTGCTTTCACCCTACTATGCCCTGCTGCTCAGTGTCCTGTGACTGTGCAGCCTGACCTTGTCCCCACTGTGGCCTTCATGGGATTTGTTTCCTCCACCTATCACTGAGAGCTGGTGGCCTCCAAAGGACTATCTCTTACTTCACTCATCCATCATGACCTCACCTACTTCCAAGGCTCATTCTAAACTAAGCCTCGAGTGACATTTCTAGCCTGACCATTAGATTCCATAGTTCTAGTGGCTGGCCACAGAAAGGTGTTCATTGAAAGTCAAAGTAGAAAGCCAGACTTAGTGATACATACCTGTAGTATCATCTACTTGGAAAGCTGAAACAGGAGGATCCCTTGAACCCAGGAGTTCAAACCAGTGTGGGTAACACAACAAATCTGTCCCAAGGATTTTTTTTTTAAAAAAAGGCAAAGTAAAAGAGATCCTACAATATGAAATGGCTGGTCAATGTTAAGACTAAGACAGACTTCACAGTAGCTTAAATACTACTAGGTATTGTGGAGCAAGAGTAGAGGGAAGGGAGCCTGAAGTGGAGGAGGAGGGGTGCTGGGCCCACTGGCTTTCCCAGTCTAATCATCACAGTCCCAACAACCATTATAACATTCTACTAGCTGGGGTACCAGTGTAATTAGCTATGTTCACTATGGCCTGGGTCTGAAACCCATGGGTTTAACTGCAGTGAAAGGAAGGACTTCATGACAGCTACAGGGACAGAGTGGCAGGAGATAAGCCAGTTTTAGAACATGAGAATTCTGTTTGCAGAGACCAGCCTCTCTTGGGTCCATTCCGAGAGGTGGAGTCCTAGACATTTGTATCTCCAGATGTCATGTGAGTGAGACTGGGATAGATGCCTTCCCAGAGCAAATAGGGTCTAGGCTGGTCCTACTCTTGGAAAGTCAACAACAGCCAGAGGTTGTGACCAGGCCTGAGACAAATCTAAGACTGAGGTTGGGGTTTCTGGGAGCCTCACCAGTTCAGGCCTGGCCTCTCAGAGGAGCAAGAGAAACCTTACAGGGTAACAGTGCCATGGGTTGGAGGGAAGGCTGGATCTGCTTTGCATCCAAATTGAGACCAAATGGAGAGTAGAGGGAATAAAGGAGGTGTCAAGAGCTTGAAATTAGAAACAAACCCAATGTGCTAGCGGGAGGTGACCCAGAAGGGAGGGCTTGACAGTGCCTGTCTGGGTGTGTCCACTACCTGACGAAGAGATAGGGTGAGAGGACCGCAGGAGCCTCTTGTGCAGCTGTTTAACAGGAAAAGTACCAGGCTGCACCAAGAGCCCAGCTATCTAGGAGATCCATTCTGCCTGCCCCGCATCTGGTCAGCCTACCCTGGTGCTCTAGTTTGCAGGGCTTTCTGTAGCTGTGTCCAGCTCCCGAGAGGGCAAAGCATACTTTGAGGGCATCCTGAAGGCCCCCCCAAAAAGGCCCTACCCTTCCATTTGCCTGTATATTGTCACATGGAGACTGGCCACACTTGCCACATCCAGGCTGAGAATGCAGGGACCCCCGGGACCGTTTCACCTCAGGAGTCCCCTCCTGACAGCAGGATAAAGAGAGTGACAGAGGACAGTGGGACTCTGTCATAAACCAGGGACTGTTAGAAGGTGCAATGCTGTCCTTTTACCTGAATTTGTGTCTTGTGGGAGAACTACAGCCTCCCAAGCAGACTCCAGTCTCCCTGACTCCTACTCCTCCACTTCAATACACTTGGCACAGGCAGGCACACACAGGGAACATTCCAGCAGCTGGGGTCCTTGCAAGGCAGAGGCAGGAGGACTGCTGAGTTTGAGTGTGAGGACAGCCTAGGTGGCGTACCAAGAGCCTGTCTAGGGCTGGGAATTCAGCTTATTGGCGCTGCACCTACCTGGCAAGCACAAGGTCCTGAGTTTGATTGCTAGTACCAAAAACAAAGCCTGTTTAAAAAAACAGGGCCATGTGTGGTGGTGTATGCCTGTAATCCCAGCACTCAGGAAGCTAAGGCAGGAGGAGCACCGTGACTTGAGACCAACCTGGGCTATATAGTGAGTTCAGGGGCAGTTTAGACTATATAATGAGTTATTTTGTCACACACACACACATGCTCCAAAAAACAGAAGTCACTACAAATAGTAACAGCTGTGTGCACGTGCGCATGCATGTATGTGCACGGGGCTACTGAACCCCTCCCTTAGGAAACATCTGCTAATTCCAGAGTCAGAGTTGTGAATGAAGTCAGCTGTTCCAACCTGGACCATCTGGTCAATCACACATTCACCTGCAGGGTAGACCAAAAATATGCCGTGAAGACTCCATGCATAATTGAGTTTACAGCACAGCTGGGCACCAGCCTCTTCGCTTCTCAGGTCACCCTCTCCTGACCTTTATCATAACCTTGGTTCCTGTACATCCCTGCCTCCTCCACCTCCAGAATGCAGGCTCTCACAGGACAAGGGCTGGCTCATCTGCTCTGCACTTTAGCTCCGAACTAAGGGAGACCAAGGAGAATCTGTTGGCAATTAGGAGACAGATCCTCAAAGGCTTCTAGGAAAAGCAGGCACTCCAGAATCCAGGTTGTGGCTGTACCATATTAACTCCCTATAACTGGATGTTTGTTTCTTCAATGGCTGCTGAGGCCGAGGGAGATTGTACTCAAGAGTTCTGTGTAGTTCCTGGCCCCAAGCAAGTGTTGGGAAAATGTCTCAGCATGCTCAGAGCTGCCCAATGGGGCAAGGGGTCAGGGCCCACAGGCAGCAGCTATGTGGGTCGGGGCTGCTTCTGTAGAGATGAAGCTGCTTCTTTGCAGAGATGGAAACGACCCAAGCGGTCTTCACAAAGACCAGGGTACCTGTATTGCTAGAGTCTCCCTGGAAGAATGAGCCCTTGAGTGGTGTTCTGTAGACAAGAGGAACACAAATCTGGAGGTCCTGTCTAGGCAAAACAATTGTGAACCTTATCACCCTCAGTCCACAGAAAGCATGGGCTCTCAGAGCTGCCTAGAATTTCAAATGTGCTTATGCCCTCAAAGGAGAGCTCAAACAAGCACCCACACTAGGTCTCTAATGGCACAGTGCTATTGTTTTCCACATCTGCCACAGTGCGGCAGTCAAGCTGTGAATGCATCAGAGCTTCAGTTCTTGAGCAGATCATGAAATCCTTCAATGCTCACCTCCCTCCTTTGAGATGGGAGACAGAAGGTAGGTGGCATATTGCCCTGCAGTGCCATGAGGGTCCAATAACATGAAGGGGCCAAAGCACCTAGCACTGAGCCTAGCACACAGCACCAAGGAGCACTGGTCCCTGGTCCTTCTGTCCAAAGCTAGAGACATGGTCTACAGATAAGGTGGATGGCTCTCAGAACTGACACCAGGCACGGTGGCATACCACTGTAATCCTAGCACTTTGGGAGGCTGAGGTAGGAAGATCACAGTTCAAGCCCAGCCTGGGCAACTTAGAAAGACCAGGTCTCAAAATTAAAAAAGAGCTGGGGATTTGGCTCAGTGGTGCCACTGCCTGCCTCAAAAGCACAAGGTCCCAAGTTTGATCCCCTGGTACCAATAAAAAATAAAAAAGAGCTGGGAATGCACTTCAGTGAGAAGACCCTGGGTTCAATCCCCACTACCAGCAAAAAAACAAAAAAAAAAAACCCTGAGGCTTGGACCTTGAAGTGTGGGTCCCTCCCTGCCTCCCTGCCCATCCCAGACCAGCTCCTGTGCACCCTCCTCACCTTCCCAGCCCATCCTGCTAAATTGATGAAACTAAAAGGATTTTATCATGGTATATTTATATGTAAATACAAAACTGTATCACTATTAAGATATTGAATATGAACATTACAATTATTACTGAATCTGACTCAGTCCAATGTTAAATACAAATTGAAATGATTGTAAAAAATAAGAATATACACATTCAAAGAGCTTATTACAGTATAAAATTACTGAGGTCTCATCAGCTGCCAACCTCATCTTCTATAGTGGGGGGAAAAGGTCTGGGGGTCTAGGGAATACAGAATGCTGGGGACCCTCGATTCCATCCCTGCACATGAGGATGGGGGACAGGGGACAGTGATTGAGGGGATTACCTCACCCAGCCAGGGTGTTACACTTGATACTGGCACAGAGCCCACCCAGACGGAGCTCTAGGACCTGACAGATGGCAGACAGGAAGAGATGGGGTGTCTCAGTAGATAGGGAATAGGAAAGGAAACTCCAGTGGAGGAAAGGGGGCCTGCTTGTCCCCTGGGAGGGATTCTATGGTGAGTTTCTCCCTCCCCCTGCTCCCCTCCTTTCCTGCTGAGATTTCGTACCGATTGCTCTTGGCTCTGCCTGTTCCGTGAGTTCATCTCTACCCCATCCTCCATCCCTAGGGTGAGACAGGAAAGGCAGGGCCTGGCATCACAGTGGAGGTCTGTTCCCCAAATCAGCAGAATAAACAGAGAAAAGCTGTTAGATAAGGACCACCAATGCTGAACTACACGACTGTCAGCACAAACCAGCATTCTTGGTTCCAATGGGCAGAATCTGGAGGGAAGGTGATCACTTAAGGATGAGGGCCTGGGTAGGAGCAGGGAGGACAGGTGTGTATGTCCCCACCCCAGCCAGTCCAGATAAACTGAACTGCAATAGAGAGCCCCAGGAACATATACAGAGAGATGTGTGTGTATATGTATTTATAGAATACGACCATATTATCACATACAATATATATTATATACACACATACATATTGACCCAGACACAGAAGTGCACATATGCACACACACACATACGTGGAAGGATGGAGGAGACCAGACTACACGCCCTATGTATAAACGTGCTTGGCACTCAGGCAATCTCTTGAATATGTAACTTGGTCAAGCTCTCTGGGCAGGAAGGTAGACACTCACAAACCCTCCCACCAAATCCTAGCAAGGGAAGGTGAGAAGTCAGGAGACCTCCATCCAGGAGAAGAATGGCATCGGGAGGGGGAGGAGACCCCTACCCCTTGCCTCAGGGCCCTGGCAAATTATCAATAGCCACAATTTGGTTTTAATAAGGCACAGTTTGATAGCAGGTGGTAGGAGTCAAGAACACATCACTGCTGGCCCTTTTTAGTGGCAACTCCACCACATCAATCTGACTGAAGGGAGAGGCTGTCTTGAGTGCACAAAGGAGCCAGGAGCCACAGAAGAGGCTGATCACGGCTTCGGCAGAACCGATGGCAACCTAGAGGCTCAGTGGTGTCCGGGATGATCTAAGGGAGGTTGGCCAGCAGGCAGGACACTGTGGGGCAGTTACTGACCCTCCATGGCCAGCAGGCTATGGCCAGAGGGCACCATGCCCTCCTTTTCTGCAAACTCCAGGATGGCCTTGTAGCAGAAATAGTACTGCTCGGGGGTCTGGATGCTGAAAGCCCTCTGGGTCCGCATGCGTGACACTGTCTGGAACACATTAAGGGTGCCGAGCTCCTCCAGCTGTGCCAAGCAGATGTCCAGTGAGCAGAAGGTACCTGAAGAAGGAAGGCAATGGTCACCTTGGTTAACTCTCCTATCTTCCTTCCTCTACCAAACTTCAGGCAGGACCGTGCAAGTGAACTCAAGGCAAGGTACACATGGCAAGAAGCCAGGTGGCCTTATACCTGAAGAGGAAGAAGCCACAGGAGTGCTAAGGGCCTCTCATCTCTCAGGACAATGCACAGGGGAAGGAAGAGTGAGCATGCAAGTGTCAGGAACATCCTGCCTCAACAGTAGATTCAGCACCTGTGCCCTCTCCAGAGCCTGCCTCTCTCCCACAGGCCAGAAGTCCTGTAGCACACACCCCTAGGGCAGCAGCTGCCGCTGGCCCCAGAGTAGAGCATGGCCCAGGGCAGGAGTCTTGGGAGAGGGGCTGAGAAGGGAGAGCAGCCAGATAAGCTCTCTGGGTCCCCCACAATGATGGCAATGACTGGTCAGATGACAATCGTGGTGCTGAAAGGAATAAGGGATCAATTCTTAGGAGTCTGGTTTGTGCAGTGTGTATTCTAGCCAGCACCAAGCACAAGGTACCAAAAGGACTTAAAGGGGCATTTTCAGAGCAGTTTACCACAGGGATCAAGTGAGTCCCTTTCCTATCACAGATGTGGCCAAGAGCTCTGTCCTTTTACCCCACCCCTTGCCTCTGGATGCTCCAAGACTGCCCTGGTACATCACCTGTCCGGCCAATGCCTGCACTGCAGTGGACTACGATGGGTGGCTGCTCAGGGCACTGCCCCTTGGAGCGGGTGCCCATGCTGCTAACAGCCAGGCTCTGTTGGTTCCTGACGGCCCTTAGGAAGTCAATGAGTGAAGCCGCTGAGGAAGGGACACCATAGTCTGGCCAGCTCAGGAACTGGAAGTGTGTCACCTGACGTTTCTCCCGCTCCTGAGATGGAAAGAACAGCTCAAGTTAATAAGGTTATCCCTGCTTGACGGGGGGGCTTCTCCAGGGCCTCAGCAGCCCGTGTCCCTGCCACCAAGGTTCCCATCTACCATGCTCAACTTGCTCCACAAACACTTCTCTATTGCAAACTCAAAGAAAGGCCCAGTGTGCAAAGGGATTCTTACAGGATCCAGATTTCTTTTCTTTGTGGTACTGGGGAGTCAATCTAGGACCATTGCCTGTTTTATATTTTTTATTTTGAGAGACTTGCTAAGTTCCCAGGTGGGCTTGAAGCTGCAATACTCCTGCCTCAGCCTCCCAGAGTGCTGGGACTACAGGTCTGTACCACCACTCCTAGCTTAGGATCCAGATTTGTAATGCTATGTGTGTTCTTCCTCTGTAATGCTACTGTTGTGCTAAAATTGTATGACTCTCTTGGCTCTGAACTGAATATCCTCATCTCACTTCCAGAAAAACAGAAGCAGCTATAACATCCTTAGAATCCTGCCTACAGTACAGATTCTCCCCCAGCTCCGAAAAGGGGAGAAAACAGGAACCTAGGTTTACCTCAGTGTTGTGAATTTCAAGCGTTGTTTTCTTATAATGGTTCATGTTCTCCACACCCAGGTTGGTCACTGTGAGGAAGCCAAATCTGATCCGAGTATCCTTTTCTAAAGGCCAGTACTGGCCGCACTTCCTCCTGCCACCTTCCTCAAAGCTGAAGACACAGGGCAAAGTCAGCCACATCCCTCCCTCTGCAGCAAAAACCCGCTCCCCATGACTGCTGTCCACAAGGTGGCAATGTTGTCTCCCACATTACTTCTAACTCTATCCCTGGCTCTTGGCAAAAAAAAAAAAAACCCACTTTTATTTTAAATGGATTAAGTGTCTGTATGTGTTCATTTAACACACTGATTGTGCACCTGCTACACCATTTGGTCTTCTTCCCCATACCAAGTAGCACTTCTCACCCAGCTGGGATAGTATAGTGGATGAGAGGACAAGAGAGGAAAGGTGGTGGGAGAGCACACATTGGCCTATACCCCAGCCACAGTTCATTCTCTTCCCCAACAAGGGCCTCGCTGACAGAGGAGGGGAAGATGCCTCTCTGGGTGAAGGGTAAAGACTGTCCTTAGAGGTCCCAGGATCCCCAGGTGGCTTCTCTACTGTCCTGTCAAACTGGATGGGGCTGTGCTGGGGCCCTGAGAAGGGGACGGAGCAAGAGTTCTTTTTGTCCCCTTGTCTGAAATCAGTTACAATCAGTATGATGACATTAATGAGACAGAGTTCCTCCAAATTAGCAGCTGTGTAGGACAGCATCTCAAGAGCACTCCTTGCTCCACAGCTTCCTGCCTGACCTGCTACATTTCATCTCTTAGTCATCCCTTTGCATATAGGGAAAACACAGACAAGGAGAAAGGACAGCAGAAGGAACCCTAACTCAACAGCCAAGAAGGCAGAGCCCTCAGCACAGGCCAGGCTAGGGGAAGTGCCCATGTTCCCAGAATAGGCTGTCATAGCCACAGGGTCGGCATGGCCATGCATTAAAGCTCATGTACATCCACCTATCTCCATCATCCCGTTAGGTAAAAGCTGAGAAAGCTCTTAACTCTCTACCATCACTTCTCCTAATATTCAGTGTTTCTTTTTTCTTGTTCTTTGAGACAGGGTCTTGCTATGTAGTTCACATTGGCCTTGAACTCAGTCTTCCTGTCTCAGCCTCCCTAGTGCTGGGATTATAAGTGAGCGCTACCATGTTTGGCTCATCTTCAATGTTTCTAGAAGCTGAACATCTTTACTGAATTACCCACACTAGGGTCGGGATGGGTGGGGTCAGTGGGGAAAAGAGCTGACTCACCGGGTGGTCATGACAATCACCAAGACCTTCTGCTCCCACACCATGAGCCAGAAGTCACGATAGGTGTTTTCCAAGGGGCCTGGTGGAAAGAACACAAGGGCGTGAGCGCAGGGAACCCTTCTGCCTTCCTAGTCCCACCCCAAAGCCCAAAGTCCAGTGCCAGCTCCCTGCTCTTCTCTCTACACCCTGCTTTCCTGTCCTGGGATTAACAATACCAGCAATTTGTGAAAGAATGAGAAATCAAGAGAATAGCCAGGCATGTTGCTGCACACCTGTAGTCCTAACACTACAGGAGGCAGATGCCAGAGAATCATGGTTCAAGCCTGGACAATTTAGTGACAGCAAGACCCTGTCTCAAAATTTTAAAAGGGCTGGGGATGTAGCTTAGTGTGAAAGTTCCTGAGTCCAGTTCCCAGTATTTAAAAAAAAAAAACACCATTCGCACATTAACAACCCATCTTGGTGAGAGGTAGAGGTCTGAGATGGATGCTATCTGGAATCACACTGTACTTTCTCAGAGCTCAGCTTTTATCATATCCACGCAGCTGGGCTACCTGTGGGCCTATCTCTGTCTCCATCACACCTGATCTTCAGCTCCCTTAACTGGTTCCCACTAACCCACTCTCCAGCAGCCATCATCTGCAACCTGGGCTCCTCCAACATAGGTTTCATCTTTCCACTTTTTCATCTTTATTAGTGACACCAAATTGTTAAAAATCTGAAGCTTATCTGCCTTACCCACCTCCTGCATCTCCCATATCAGTTTCAAAATTGTGCAGCTATTCTGCACTGGAAATGTTTCTGTACCTCTTGACCCACACTGCCCCACTCCTGTTCTGGGATCCCACTGCTTGTCATGGCTTGGCTGAGCTGCGTCACCACCTGAACTTACTCTCCTTAAGTCTCTCCCTTCTGCTCTGGGTCCCCACCAGCTCAGTGGTTTCAAGACAACCTGCTCAAGATAAGATGTCCTCTTCTCTGAGTCTGTCCACTTTTTATCCATTGTTTCCAATGCCCCCTTTAGCTGTCAAACCCCTTGCTCCTTAGGGCTTCTCTGGTCTGAGCTCCTGATGCCACAGTGGGTTCTGAAGAGCTTAGCATTTGATTTACATTTGACATCAGTCATTTCACTTGGGGAATTCAGGCCGCAGGAATCACTGTTTGAGGACAACAGTCACACTTGTCCTTAAGGTCAGGTTCCACCGTTATAGTGAAAGCCTGCACAGGGTAGGGTACTCGGCAATGAAGGCACATTTCCTATGGACTACCAATCCTTCTCACCAAGAGAATAAGTGACAATGCATAGCAAGGTCCTCTGTGCTCTCCCAGCTTTTCTTCTGCTCTCAAGAAAGCAAGGCAACAGCAAGGACTGATGGAAGCTCCATTATATTTTTTGCTAAAATCATTAGCAAACACTGACATCTTTTATTAGAATGCCCTCTCTGCAGAAACAGACCCCAAAGTATAGTATGCAGGGCCTTGGCAACAAACTGAAGGTATGAGAGGGGATGAGTACTGTACTATGCTAGGAAAGTGCTCTACCAATGCAGCCAAAGCCCAGCCTCAGATTCAGATTTTAAAACTGGGGAGAGAATTTGGGAAAAAAGAAGAATCAAGAAAATTACAAATTCCCTATGATGAATGTGACCATTATGTATATCTAAAATGTATCACTAAAACTGAAAAAGGAAATTGGAGGCTGAGCCAGGAGGATCACTGTGAGTTCGAGACCAGCCTGTGCTACATAGTGAGTTCCAGGTCAGTCTCAACTACATAGTGAGACCCTGTCTCAACCCCCCGCCAAAAAAAAACAAAAAACAAAAAACAAAAAACAAAAAACTGAAAAAGGAAAAGAGTCTGATAATATAAACTTTTCTTTTTTGGTACCGGGGACTGAACTGTGCTTTTGAGGCAGATGGTGAAACTACTGAGCTAAATCCCCCAGCCCTTGCAATGTTCTCAGATATACAATGTCCCATCCCTTTGTGGGTGTCACCCACATAAGTGTTACCTTTATTGGCGACATTAAGGTGAATCGCTTGTTTAAGGAACTACCATCATTTCTCCAGAACCAGGGATTGAGATCAGCTGCACTGTACAACTAGATCACATTTTTTTCATTGAGTTTGAAATAAGGTCTTGCTAGGTTGTTCAGATTGGCCTACCACTTTCAACCCTCCTGCGTCGGTCTCCTAAGTATCTGCGATTACAGTCATGTACCACCACACCTATCCTGTCAGATCTGTGACTGACCATTCTCTGCAATAGTCAGAGAACCTTGGGCTGGGGATTTAGCTCAGTGGTTCTGCCACCTGCCTCGCAGCACAAGGACCAGTGTTTGATCCCTGGTACCAAAAAAAAAAAAAAAAAAAGAGAAACTTAAACCCTCATTGCAGCCTGTTCTGTCAACCTGTCTGAGTTTCCTAGAACCACCACCACCACCACCTTCTCTTCTTCATGCTGGGGGTTGAAACCAATGCCTCGCATATATGCATTACCACATTCTTTGAAAATGAAGTCTTTTTTTGTGGGGGTACTGGGGATGGAACTCGGACCTTCCCTAAAGTCTGATTCTCTCTCTTTTTTTTTGGTTTTTTGAGATAGGGCCTCATTATGTAGTTGAGATTGACCTAGAACTCACTATGTAGCCCAGGCTGGTCTTGAACTCACAGCGATCCTCCTGCCTCAGCCTCCAATCCTCCTGCCTCAGCGAGTGCTGGGATTACAGGCATGTGCCACCACACCCGGCTCTTAGAGTCTTATTCTTGAGAGGCAGAGGCTTGGTGGGCAGGTACTGGGCCCACACAAGCATGACTAGCAACTCCATCTGAATTCCTCCTGGTCTGAAGGACTGCACTGTCAGACCTCACACAAATTACCTGGTTCAGAGCACTTCCTAGCATGTGTTTTGATGACTCAGGGCACAGGAAAGGCACCACTTATGTCTAAACTGGACCAAATCTCTGGGAAGTACCAATGCCATCCCTGGCCCCTTTGTGTATATGAAAAGCATCTCACAGCCCTGCTCCTTTGGCTTGGCCATACTAAGACACAGTGCTGAAAGCCATAGGCAGGCAGTATTGTGGGCTTATATCTACAGTTCATCTCTATGCACCAAGTTTCCAAGCAACTTAGGACCTTGTGCTTGGGAAGCAGGCAGTGGAACCACTGAGCTAAATGCCCAGCTCCAAGCACACATGGTACAGAAAGCTTTTATCTCCCATGTGCCTTTCTACCTCCACCAACCTTTACAAAAGGCCAGGATTTAGTAGCCACAGCATGGACTCGAGTCACATTTTCTTTAAAAACTATGCCATCGGGCTGGGGATTTAGCTCAGCGGTGCTGCCACCTGCCTCACAAGCACAAGGTCCCAAGTTTGATCCCTGGTACCAAAAATAAATAAAAAACAAACAATGCCATCATCTGGCACAAGGCAGATGGCACGAGACAAACACGTGAAGGCCGCATCAGCTTACCCTGGGTGCCGATGTAAGCATTCTTCTGCTTGTAGCCATCCATGAAGCTGGCATTGATGTAATCTGTCTAATGGGAAAGAGAATACGTCAGTCACTGCATGCATGGCAGGTAGCATTTGGGTTACAGAATGGGGTCCTGGGTAAGCACAACACCAGTGTGGGTGTGCTCTTTCTGTAGGCAGACAGTGAGGGGCAACAGGGTGAACTCAAACCTCACTTTAATAACCAGGGCTGGGCACAACTGGACAGCTACATGCAGAAAATCAAGCAGACCCCAACCAGATATCAAACACAAAGTTAACTCAAAATGGACCAAAGACACAAATGCAAAAGATTAAAACTAAAAAACTCTTTGAATAAAATGAAGGAATAACTTTATGACCTTGGGCTAGGCAAAGCCTTCTTAAATACAGCAAAGTCACAAGCCATAAAAGAAAAGAGATAGACTCCACTACAGTAAAACTAAAAACCTTTAGTCAGGCACAGTGACAAAGATCTATAATCCCAGCACTCGGGGAGGCTGAGGCAGGAGAGATTGAGAGTTCGAGCCCAGTCTGGACAACTTAATGAAACCTTGCCTCAAAATAAAAAAAATAAGATCTGGGTGTGGTGATGCACCCCTGTAATACTAGCACTTGGGAGGCTGAGGCAGGAGGATTACCAGGGCTCCACAGTGAGTTCGAGGCCAGGCCGAACTACATAGTGAGACCCTGTCTCAAAAAAAAAAACAAAAAACAAGGGCTGGGATTTAAGCTCAGTGGTTCTGCTGCCTGCCTCACAAGCACAAGGTCCTGAGTTCGATCCTTGGTACAAAAAAAAAAAAAAAAC